TCCCAGCGCTGCGGCCCCCTCCGTGTCCTCCTGCTGCGGCAGCCGGGGCTGCTGCCAGAGGCTGCTCAGGGACTTGTACCACTCTGCCCTGAAGCTGTCGCCGTCCAGCATGGGGTGGAGGAAGAACTGCCTGCTCTCTGCTTGGTACAGGTAGGGGACAGCCGAAATCCCGTTCCTGTCCAGATTCAGCTCCCTCAGGCTATTGGAAAAGGAAGTCCATGAGAAACTCCAGGATTGCTATCGGTGTATACACACGGCCATCTGTTTGCCCCGGCGCCCGCAGGGCAGGGAGCTGGCCCTCGACCTGCTGCTGAACTCCCCAGCAGAGTGCGGAGGCGTCCGTGGCACCGGTATCTGGCTGCCCTGTTCCCCCTCCTCGCCAAACCCCAGCCACGGGCTCAGTTCTTGGCACAGCCCAGCGTGGCCCCTGAAGCCCGTGACTTCGGTCCCCCACATCAGCCCAAGGGTGACCTAGCTCTAGACTCACCTCTTGATGAGATTTTAACAGACAAGGAGACATCCTGGTAGTTCATTAAATCACCCAGGGTTCTAACAAGCTGTGGTCCTACTGGAATTCCCTAACAATGTTCCACCTTCCCATGGAAGTATAACATCACCAGTGCACTTGCCCAAAGCCACAAGACAGCTTAGGGAAGAGCAGAAACCCAAACCTCCACGCTCCAGCTCTGCAGCCTCATGCCTAAACCTCGCCCACTCCCCCTCCTGCCTCAGGAACACTACGGAGCAGTTTCCTCCAGGAATGTCTTGGCAGAGCCAGGGCAACAAGCCAGGCCCAATTCCCACCTCTAGTTCGCAGCACTAGAAGCACCTGGGGAACATCAGAAGGTCCCTGTGCTGTCCCCAAACCCAGCACAGCCCAGCCGAGGGGCACGTGAGCTGCCCCAGCTCCTAGTGATTCCACTGTAGCTGAATCCCAAAAGCCCACATTAAACAGGGGTAATGGTTTTAAACTAAACCAGGGTAGGTTTAGACTGGATCTAAGGAAGAAATTCTTTACAATGAGTGTGGTAAAACACTGGGACAGGTTGCCCAGAGAGGGGGTGGAGGCCCCATCCCTGGAAACATCCAAGGACAGGTTGGATGGGGCTCTGAGCAACCTGATCTAGTTAGCGGTGTCCCTGCTCACTGCAGGGGGGTTGGACTGGGTGACCTCTAGGGGTCCCTTCCAACCCAAAACATTCTATGATTCTATGATTCTATGAAACAGAGGGAGCTGATCCACAGGCTTTCCTAGCGCTGCTACACTGAAGAAATGATGAATCTGGGGCGAGGAAGGGAGAACGGAGAAAGCAACTGCCATGTCTCCAATCAGACCTGGAGATCAGCAAACACCCAGGGCAGGAGCTGAATTACCAGCCACCTGCCGGGTTTGGCCAGCTTGTGCTTTGCAGCAGGCTGTTTGCTTTCTGTTCAGTCCCATGGGCAATACCAGAGAGACGAGACAGGGAAGTATCCGAGTGAATCACAAAGATTTTGGTTTCCATTTTAAGCCTGCTACCGTGCAACGCCTGACGGAGGCAGCTGCCAGCCCCCGAAAGCCCGAGCCGTCTGCTGCCAGGTCCTTCCTTACCTGCAGAGATGAGACAGGCTCACAAAGACGCTCGGGTCTGACAGACGATTGTCATCCAGCGACAGGACCTCCAGAGACGGAAACCTTAAATGAGCAGAGCTGCAGATAGAAAGAGGCTCCTTAACGCGCTCGAGCAAAGATGGGTGAAAAACAGATCATTTGCTGTCACCGCAGGAAGATGTATCTGCTGGGAGACTGGACCGGGGCTGTTTTCATTCTTTTAATAGAAAACTGATATCCTACCTCAAAGCAGTAAATTGAATCAGCCCAAATAACCATTTAGCTCAGTGTCTTATCTCCAACTTCGGCAAACAGTGGACACCTTGGCATGGTAACTGTGACTATGGTATACCTGAAGGGTCTCATGAACAGCAAATAAATAGCACCCTCCTCACGTGGCTCGGCCAAGCGGCAGGGCTGCTGAGTCGCTGCCCAGAGGTTCCTCTCTAGGTTCTGGTGACAGCAGATACCCTGGGTGATCTGGGGCTGAGCTGGGGTAACACTTCCCTCCCACCCAGCACCGACCATTAGGTTATTTGATCTTCCAGTTTGCAAGGGAAGAGGCTCTGCTGCCCGGACTGATAAATCCCAGGCTGCCCGCCCTCGCCGCTCACCACTGCCTCGCCATTCCCACTGCTCCATCACCCTGCCTGCCCGCCCGGCACATCCCGCCAGCACGCCAGCAGCTTCCCACCAAACCCAAGCATCGTTTGTGGCATGCACTTACTCCCACGAGCCTGCCAGATCCGGAGGCAGAGACCGAAGCCCGTTGGCCGTCAAGCGAAGGACTTTGAGCCGGGACAAATCTCCCAGTGTCCAAATGTCCTGGGGGGATAAGTTATTGTAGGAGAGATCCAGATCCTGAAGGAAATAGAAGAAACAATCCCCTGGAGCAAAGAACAATCTCTGTTGGCTTTCCCCAGGTAGATATTAAATATTTACAGGAGACTTTCAGTCATGCTACCACCCGCCCTAGAGTGATGCTGCGGGTGTCTCTGGCTTGCAGGGACTTCACTTACAGTGGTGGGACCCTGCACCTCGGCAAAAGTGCTCAGGGCTGGTTCCCCACTCACACGTGTGGCTCACGGGACAACAGCCAGGAGAAATCCAGGGAGCAGATCCTGCTGGGAGCGAGGACAAGGGTTTCTAGGATCTGTGAACAGGAATAGCTTTCCCGGGTCATTACAATAGGCTGCATTTCCCCAGGAGGAGCTCAAAGCACTTTCCAAATCAATTTAATAGGAATTTCCAATCAGCCTTCCCAGGGCTGATTTCTCCAGGCTGTCAGGAAACAAGATCCTGGACATTGGTCATGGATGAAGCTTGGATCTGCGGGAGGATGGCAGGAAGGGGAGTTTAGGTGGGTTCCATCCCCACCTTCCATAGCTGGTGCCAGTGACAGGGCTGCTCACACAGGGGCACATGGGGATGGACAAGATCAACACCGGCCTCATGAGCCATGGAAATTTGGTTCCCCATCACTGTGTCAAACCCTGAACAGGTTACAAACAGTGCACGGGAGAAACAGCGGAGAGCTTCATGGATTTGGGGGCCTTCCAAAGCCTGCAGGCAGGAGGGAGGCCAGGATCCGAGGGTGCAGAGCTGGCAGCTGAGCCACCAACAAGTCTTTGAATGAGGCAAGAAGAAAGAAGTCTTTTAAGACAAAACTTTATATCCAGCAACAATCAGAAACTGTGCGTACAGTGTGAGAGAGAGAAATCCAGGCAAGGACACCTCCTCAAAGAGAGCAAGCTTAAATAAGGTCAGAATAGCTAAGCCAGAGCCTGAGCTCTCTCTAGCAGAGACCCACTCCAAGATGGACGGAGAGGATGACTAGAGCCATCATCCCAGGCACAGTGACTTGTTCTTAGGATCCACTCTGTCTCTTTTTTAAAGAAGAAACAAACTGACCCCTTTGCTGTGTTAGAAAGGCAGCCCATGAGCTCGGGAATCATAGAGTCGTGGAATCGTTTAGGTTGGCAAAGCCCTTGAAGCTCCCCCAGCCCAACTCTTCCCCTACCCCTGCCATCCCACCCCCAAACCCTGGCCCTCAGCACCGCCTCTGCC